GTGGGTTGCCATTTAAAAAAATATTTTTTTTTGTAGAACTCAAAAACAAAAAAAAATTTCGAAAAATTTTATTCTTGATAAATCATCACATTTTTATAGTACTTTATCACTCATCAATTAGTTTTTTCAAAAAATAAATAGTTTAAGCAGAAAACGTTTGGTTCCATACTTTTTATTCACATGGTATGTCGTGATTTATTCCTCTTTTTTTCTAGTAAAATTTTACAATTGTTTAATTTAGAAATTGCTATTATTGTCAAATCTCTCAAAACCACAATTTGTGTAAACTTTGAGTAAAAAATTCATTTCTATTTTCTGCTTTTCAATTTCAGCAGTTTTAGCAAGATCTGCTATTTTTTTCAGATTTTTTTATACTATTCTAAAAATCAATTTGAAGTAGTGTTTTATCGGCGAGGTTTCGAGCCAAAAAAAGCATCATCAATCATCAATGACATTTACTCAACTAGTCTAAGTGCTTCTCTTAATAACTGCATTTTTTCCTCGTCTCCCCTACAATTTTTTATACAGGGTGAATATAAAGTGTGGAACCACGCGTTTTTTTTAATCATCTGCCTCCAGAAAATAATAATTAATATTAAAGCAATATAAAAATGTAATCATATTTAAAGTTTTTGAGTTTGCAATTTTTTTGTCAAAATTGCAATTTATGTATTTTTTTTTGAAAATATTAAATATAAAGTAGATAGTTGTGATCCTTAGATTATAACCTTTATGAAAAAAATTATTGAGTCGCCATTTAAAAAAAACAAAAAAAATTGTAAAACTCAAAAACAAAAAAAAATTCGAAAAATTTTATTCTTTATAAAACATCACATTTTTGTAGTACTTTATCATTAATCAATTAGTTTTTCCAAAAAATAAATAGTTTAAGCGAAAACGTTTGGTTCCATATTTTTTATTCACCCGGTATACCGAGCCACACTTTATATAGGGAGTAGTAGAAATAAGTGCACTAAATTTGTAGTCTGAATTTTAATTGAAAAAAATGTTACTTTCCAGAATTTTTTTTTTTTTAATAAACCACAAAATCAAAATCTTAGATAAAAAAAAATAAAAATTGAATTGCAGTTAATTTTGTCTGTCAAAATTTTGTGATATAAACTGAGCGACACTAGACATGCACTATTATACAGGAGGTGTCAGAAATAAGTACACAAAAGTAACGACCTTGAATCACTTAAAATTTGTAAAAAAATAATTTATTTATAAAAATATTTACAACAAATTAACTAAAAACACAAATATCAATCAGACTCTTCAAAAACACTGGTCGTTGGCAATTTTTTGAACCTTTCTTGTGTCTTCTTCCAAATTATCTGTTTATTTTTATCGTACTGATCCGCAACGACTGCATCGCCACTCCCCATCCCGGAAGTCCCCGGATTCGATACCAACCTCACCTAAATCACAACTTACTAAAAAAAAAACAAAATCCCCCAAACTCACTGGTTCCAACAACCCTTGACTGTCCTTCCCCAACGATTGCCCCTCCTTCCACCCCATCTTCTCCAACATTTTAAACCCTTTATTCTGCGCCGGAATTGACCTAAACCCAAAAAATCAACCCAAAAAAAACCAGTGCAAAAAAGTCACTTACTCGTCTAGTGACGCAATTTCCGTTTTCTCATGCGGATTTTGACTTCCGACAGTTTCGCGCCGTTTTTGTGCTCGGTCGGTATAACCGGACGCTAACTTACTACCACTTTCCTCATAGAGACTTACACCGAATTTTTTACGCAACTTTTTCAACTCATTTTTATGTTGTTCACTTTTTGTGGCTTTTGACTTAACTTCAATTTTTTCTACAAGTGTGACATTAGAAAAAATTGGGGGTAAAACACGCGTCGTACTTTCGGTACTTTGAACCAAACCTGGTTCACAATGACCACAAGTTTTGTACCCGTCATGGACGTGACACAGGAGTACCACCGAACCAACTTGAATTCGACTCCCATGTGGTACCTCCAAAGCACTACTTTCCTGTTTCGAGGTACTGATTCGTTTACCATTCAAAATGGTACCATTACGCGAACCCAAATCAGTCACGTGATAGGTACCTTTCTCCGAGTCGTAAGTAAATTTCAAGTGACTTTTACTTATATTTATGTCGGGGAGGACAATAGAGTGGGTACCTTCACGACCCAAAGTACCACCTTCGAAAAAAATAATAATAATAAAAAAAAATAAAAAAATAAAAAGTAACCTTCAAACGTCACAATGTGTAAGGAACCAATTTTGATTTTTGGTACTTGAGACTGTTCTACGATTATTCTCATACAGGGCGGCCACTGCTTAGATAAATCTACAACAAGAAAAAACCCTAAAATCGATTCTAGTAACTTTCATTGATTAAAATTACGAAAAAAAAAGAAAAAAAAGTACCACTTGTGTCAGAATTAGTGTCATCATCGGTGGTACTTCCGGAGCATTCCCCCTCTTCCGTTTCCGGTCGTGACGTGTCGTTGTCCAATTTGACGCATTTCGAGGCCTAGAAATAACATTGTTTTACTCATACGTACCATAATTAATGGTCAAAGAATTGAAGCAACTCGTTAAATGCCCCAAATCGGAAGAAATGTTTACCTAAAATCACCCCCAAATCGCATTAATACGCCAAAAACCGGTTAAAACACTCACTTTTGACTCATCCTTACATTTCTTTTTTCGTTTAATTTGAATTTCCCGCGGAACGGCAACACGCGAATGAAACTCGTACGTGTTCGTCTCTGGTTTGTAGGTCATGTAGGTCCCTGTACTCGGCTCGTAGTACAACCCATACTCCTAATTAACTAATTTAATTTCAAATTCAATTTAATTTAATTAATTACCGCATTGTAGTAATAGCCAGTGTTCGAGTCGTAATACAATCCACACGTTTCATCGTACACAAAACCGGCGTTTTGTGTGGCCAATTCCGCCGCTTCGGTGATCTCCTCCGTGATGGTTTTCGTCTCGGTTTGCGTACTTACATCGTGACGTTTCACCACCTGTCAAATGTCAATTAATCACAGCCAACGTGGGCGACAAATTTTTCACGACCAACGTGGGATACAAATCTAACCTTCAATTTCGCCCGGATTTTTTTCAGCTTTTTCTTGTGCTTTCGCAGCTGTTTTTCTAGATGTTTGATGTAGGACAGGGCTTCGGGGACGTCCCGGAGTTTTTCCTCCAAATTGGGGGAAATCTCGTACTTTTTCACGTGGTTTTCCGTCCCGCTACTCTCGGGAGTGTCACCCTCGACCATCTCCGACATAATTAACATCAAATTAATACAAAATAACTCGTTTTTTGAAGGAAAATCAGTGTTTGACAGGAGCAAAACGATTTTTTATCAATGGTGTGAAGTTAGGCACTAAGGGGCGATCAAGTGAAAACTCTAAAAACACAATTGTTTATTCATAAAATAATTACACTGGTTAACAATCACACAATTTGGTAAAAAACACAACGAAATTGTTTAATAAAAGCTAAATTAATTTTATTCAGTGACAATAACAGTGATGTGAAGTTAGGCAAACGTCAATAGTGTCACTTGTCACTTTTTGACATTAATTATGTCGTAAATTTTAACAAACAAGTCATTAATTAGTGAAAAGAATGCAATTGAGGTGTAATTATCGTGTACAATAAATTGCGGGCCCCCTTGTCTCGATGCCTGCCCAGGCCGAGCGCCTCACGCGCCCCAAAAACATGTCCGAGGAGTTATCCGGGGTCACAGTCGTGATTATCATCGGTTTGGGTGTCTTAACCTTCATCTTGTTGTTTATTTTCGCCAAGAGACAAATAATGCGGTTTGCGTTGCGCTCTCGACGGGGCCCCCATGTCCCGATCGGGCACGACGGCCCCAAGGTACGTCCCCCTGTTTTTCCCACACATTTCTAACCCCGATTTCAGGTCCTGAAACGCGAAATCGAGCGCCGAATCGATGTGATCCCCCGGGTCATCTGCGACCCCCTTTTGATAAGCAAAAAGGACCCTCGGTATATCGTGTACCCCGGACAGCAAATCCCTGCACACTACTACCGCCTCAAGGCCGTCGACGACGTCAAAACTTTGGGTGAGAGAGCGAAAACAGCCCCCATTTTGGGTAATTCCCCGTTGTTTCAGAGGCGGAAATTACGAGACAGGATAGTGGGTTTTACAGACACCCGAGTGAGAATCTCCGGGCGTATCTCTTGACGACCCTGGCAGCCCCCTTGAACGGCAGTGGGCAACGCCTCATACACCAATTCTGCGATTTATACGAGCACGCGAGACACGACCCCAGCCCCTTTGGGGACGAGGAATACCAACAGTATAATCGACTTTTACTGAAACTAGTCGATGCCTCGAAGCTCCTCAAGGCTTACAATAGTCGAAAATCGTCCCCAAATCGGACCCCCCATCGACAAAAACCACCCCAAGAGAAAAACAAGAATTTATTGGACCCGACAAGATTACACCCGTGCCCCCACGAAGACGAGGTTTTGGCTGTCTCGGACTCACGCCCCACATCCCTAACTGTCTCTCTTGCCGATAACGAGACTTCAGTCTGACTCACATTCGAGATTTAGGTATTTTACCCATTTCATGTTTTTGCAAAACTCCAATTCGTGTCTCAGACACTTCAAACTGGACAAAAAAACGTCCCGGTTTGGAATTTGTGACGTAGACATGTGGGAAAACCACTCAAGGGCCTGAAATTTCACTTCAAAATTTTTCAAAAAAATTGAGTCCTGACCTGTGGCACACAAATACTCCAATGATTGACGTCCAAAAGCGTCGCAATGGCCCGAGGGAACGTTTCGTACATTTTCTCACCGTCATCAAGGGCAAAATGGCCGGAGAAAACGAGCGTAGCGAGGAGAAAAACATCGCTTAAGAAGTGGGTTTCCCCGGGAGTTGCTTGGATTTGACCGAGGAGTTCCAACAGCCATAGGACACATTCGGTGTTGTTTTGGTGTTTTTGAAACACTTGAGTCAGGCTTGCAAACATGAAATTTCTGTCACTGTAATGAAAGAATTACGATTTTTTTAATTGATTGATTAATTGATAATTACGGGAATTTATGACCATGTTCGATTAAATCGTTGAGGAGGTTTAAAGGGGCTTCCTGAGTGATTAAAGCCAAAGAAGTGCGAATTTTTATCGCTTTTTTGAACCATTCACTTCGTATTTCTTTGACCATTTTCGGTGAGGATAAATCGTTGATGCATTTCATGGGGAAATGGACAACACAGTCGAGCAAAACTTGAAATAACTGCGAGAAAAATTAACGTTTTGACTTTTTTCTAATGTTTTACCTTTGATGTGATTGGAGTTTCGGCGAAAATGTCGCTTATTATTTGTGCAATTACGATTTTATTAGCCTCTTGTATCTCTCTATTACGTAAAGTGTTTTTTAAGTGGATTAGTATTTCGTTTAATTGTTTTTCGTTTCCCTTTTCGAATAAATCAACACTTGTTGTGATGGTTTTCTCGAGGAATGGACGCAAAGTGAAGGGTTGGACGCTGTTTGCGAGGTGTTGCAAGTGGGTGTAAATGTGCAAAACGTCGTTTTCCTGGAAAAAAATTAAATGGTTTGAATTTCGCGCCAAGAGGTGGTGCCAACTGCTGAACCAAAGTCCCTACAAATGATAAGTTAAACTCAAAAAAAGTAATGAAAAATTGTTGATTGTGCCTAGGTGTGATTCTTGCAGATTAGTGGCCCCCACGTACAATTTTTTTGTGGTTTTCATGTTTTTTTGTTGAACACAAGTGCACACATAACCCGACTTTTTTGTCACAGTTAATGAATTGAAGCCAAATCGACAACAATAACTGTTTTTTTTTTTTTGCACAATTTTGACTATTTTTGATTTTTTTGGTAAAGATTCAGCATTGCCAACTGCTGAATCAAAGTCCCCACAAATGTCAAGCGCCATTTTAAATTTGATTCAAAAAGTAGTAAAATTGTAAATAAAGCACACCTAAAAAATTATTTCGGGTTGGGAACAAGACAAATCGGTCGTTTTGTATTGTAACAATCGATTATTTCATAAATAATTTGAATTATGTTTTATTCGTGATTCTGTGTTACCAACCACTCAACCAAAGTCCCCACAAACGACAAATTAAACACAAAATAATAAAAATAGCCTTTATTGTGCCTAAAAATGTGATTTTTTCAGTTTAGTGGGCCCTCAGGTATGTTTTTGGCATTGTTAAATCCAAGTGAACACATAACCCGACTTTTTTTTGTCACAATTAATTAATTGAAGGTAAATCGAAGGTACTCTCTGAATAACAACAATAATTGTTTTTTTTTACATAATTTTAAATATTTTTGATTTTTTGTAATGATTCAGCATTGCCAACTGCTGAATCAAAGTCCCCACAAATGTCAAATGCCATTTTAAATTTGAATTCAAAAAGTGGTAAAAAGCACACCTAAAAAATCATTTCAAGCTGGGAAGAAGAGAAATCAGCCGCTTTGTATTGTAATAATCGATTATTTCATAAATAATTTGTTCACTGAATTGTTTTATTTGTGAGTCTGTGTTGCCAACCACTGAACCAAAGTCCCCACAAACGAGAAATTAAACACAAAATAATAAAAATATCATTGATTGTGCCTAAAGATGCGATTTTTTCAGATTAGTGGGCCCTCAGGTATGTTTTTATTGTTAAATCCAAATGCACACATAACCCGACTTTTTTGCCACAATTAATGAATTGAAGACAAATCAGAGATACTGTACTCTCTTAATAACAACAATAACTGTTTTTTTTGCATAATTCTGAATATTTGTTTTTTTTTTTGTAATGATTCAGGATTGCCAACTGCTGAACCAAAGTCCCCACGAATGTCAACGCCACTTTAAATTTGACAAAAAGTGGTAAAATTGTAAATAAAACACACCAAAAAAATCATTTCGAGTTAGAAACAAGACAAATCGGCCGTTTTGTATCGCAACAATCGATTATTTCATAATTTTGTGTATTAATTGAGTGAATTTGGCATTACCAACCATTGCCACCCAAAATCCCACCAAATGTCAACCGCCATTTTAAATTCAAACTCAACGAAAATTGTGCCCCGAAAATGTGATTTTCCACTCTCATGTAAGTAATTATTGTATTACTCACCTTTGTCAAATCCATTGCTTCGATATAATTGACGATAAACCGTCTCGCCGTGCCCGAAAGCACCACCTGGTGTGCGGCTATACTAATACAAAAATACTTGGTTTCCTTCTCGTGGAATAACTCTTGGAGGAAACACCAGTCTAACGGGGGCAAAGGCTTACTATACTCCTCACTCAAAACCCTCAAACATTCCAAATAAACCTCTTTGTAAATATCTGTCTTCCATTTGAGCACCTTCGCCTTAACATAGCTCGAAAGCCCCCTCACGACACTATTTACCGGCAAATAGGAGTAATCGACGGGCTCCCGCGCCCCTTTCACTTGATAAACAAACTTCAAATATTGCGAAATCTCAATCGAGACCAATTTGATTAAAAAATCACCGACAATGTGAAGCTTGGCGCGGGGACAACTCTTCAAAAAAACCACCCAACAAGTCCCTAAAAAAACACTAATTTAATGGTCAAACGTGTGGGGGAATTACCGGGAATTGCGCCCCCAGACTTGCGCAAAACGCTCAATTCCTCGTCGAGGAAGTCTTCAGGGATTTCCCCCACGATTTGCTCGACTGTGAAGTGACTCAAAGCCTCCAAAGCCCCCTTCCAAACCGCATCCTCGTGATCCCCGACTAAAAACTGCCATAATTTTCGCACAACTTCGTCACAAAATTCGGGATTTTCGTCGGAATACGACAGACTCGGGACTTCCCCTAGGAGCCCACACAGACTGAAATGTGAGAATCGGTAAACCCCCCAAAACTGGTTTTTTTACCTTTTTATCACAGGAATTCTCGTTTCGTGTCTAAAAATCGGCTCTAGGGTCCCCCACGTGGTCACCGCATCGATAATCTCCGACTTGCACAATTCTCTAATCCCCTCGATGGCCACCCCCGCCGCGACAGCCCCCTCGGGGGCATGACACTCGTTCAAGAGGCGCGATAAATGAGCCACCATGTCTTTACCATACAATTCGGGTTTGCGTGCACACAATTCCCTCAAAATGTGGGCCCGTGTCACATAAAACTCACTTTTGTGACAAGGGGGCTGCCAGGGGGCCACTAGGAGTTGCTCCAAATACGGATAAATCTTATTATCGCTGGTCCACAATTCGAACATGAGACTCGTACTGAAAGTTTTGAGGTGATTGGGGCCCCGATTTAGGGCTTGAATTGTGGCGATTATCACTTGGAGGTTGTCTTTCGTCGCCAATTTCGGGAGCGCTTTGAGGAGTTTGAGATGGAGGTGTGAATCGGTCGTTTTTGTCAATTTGTAAAGAATGACAGTGAGGAGATTTGAGGATTTGAGGAAAGTGCATTTGAGGAGCAAATCGAAGACTTTTGAGGCGATTAAGGGGGTCTCAAATTCGGTCAAGAATAAACCGAGTAGAAAATTGTAGAATTTTAAAAGAAAAAAATCAGGGGTTTTACCCAACTTATCCAAGAACACAACCAAATCTTGCAGATTCCGACATTGCTCCAAAATAATGTAAGTTTGCAACGAAAAATAAACATCACTATTGGTAATTATTAAATTTTGGTGATTTTTATACAGTTTTGTGAATCCCCGAAGTCGTGTCAGATTTTTTTCATCGGTTTCAAGTAACGCAAAAATTTCATTAATTAATTTTAAATTATCTGAAATTAAATCAGATGGACTTGACATCCATTGTAACAACACCGATTTAATTACATTTGACGTAATTAAATCACACTGCGATTTGACAATAATTAATTTAATTAATTGCAATAGTGGCAATAGAAACACACCCGAGCACAAATTAATTGACTTTGACAGAATTAATAAAATTGGATTTAAAATAATTAAATTAGTGACTTTGTCTAGCGTTTCAGAAATATTGTAAATTATTTCTCGTGGGTCGTAATTATGTTTAATTAATTGGGAAAGTGAGGAAATTTGCCACAAAATTAGCAAATCTTGTGGGAAAACATCAGGAAGTAATTCCCCCAAAAACTCGGAATTTATCTCGATGGTGTCCTTGTTTTCGAACTAATAATTGTATTAATTAATTAATTGTAATTGGGGACAAATTACTCACTTGCATCCACGATAATAAGCAATTAATTAATTCGGTGTTATTTTTAATTACAAAATTCCATAGTTTTTGCTTGAAAGTTGGGAAATTTCCACCGTTTGGGTCACACAAAACGAACAAAAACACCGCTTTGTGTAACTCATTGTAATGTGAAATTGTTCTAGAAATAATTAGTAAATTAATTGGTAATTATAATTAATTATTACTTGGGATTTTCTCTGTAACTGAAACTAAGTTCGCGAAAAATCGCCCTCCACGAGTTTGGGTCCTCTTTCAGCATTACCAAGAAGGGGTGTTGGGGCACCTGCATATTATACGATTTGTGTTCGTTGCCCCCCATTAGTAAATGATTGATTAAAAACGCCACATTTGGGGAAAACCTGAAACAAACTGGCGTGAAATAGCCCCCTTGGGTCCCCTCCCCTACCTTGTTGTTGTTATCAGGGTGATAAAGTCGGTTATGAGTGATTTGGCCAAGTTGGGGGCCCCTTCCACGATTTGTAAAATCGCCTTAGCTGCTAAAATATTCCCATTGAGACAGTTTTCTTTCAAGAATTTGAACTCCGGTACGTCTAAAATATCGTCACTTTGGCGGTTTTTCACAATTTTTGCCAGTTTTGAGGCAATTTGAATGGCCACAATTGGGTTTCTTGAATTCAATTTATTGCTTAATTCGTCCATAATTGGGGGGTTGTGAGGGAAATAATGCGATTTTTGGGGCGTTTTTGCCCACACATCAGGTTTTGATCGAGAATATAACGTTTTAAGTTTTGAAAAATTCAAGGTTAGGTTTTTGACAGATGACAGGGCGATTTTTTCATATATGATTTTTTGTAGTGACTACGCCAAAATAACATTTTTTTACTAAATAAAGTAAAATAAATACACCTAAAAACACACTAAAAGACTGAACATAACAAAATATTTTTTATATAAAAAAATAGTTAAAAAAAAAATACCGAAAAGACTAAAAAATCAAGGCACCTTTGGAAAGAGCTATCAGTGTGCTACCACCTCAAATTACTGTGTCACGAAATTTCCCCAGGTTAAAACGCTAGCGGAAACTCAAAAAATGCCCAAACCCACGAAATAAGAATAATTCTTTTAGGACGGCGATTGTTTTAATATAGTTTTACTTTAAATAATCGACAAAAATGTCCAATTTAAGTAATTTAGGGTTTTGGGTAGAATTATCGATACCTAACCTCACTTTTATTTGTCAAATATCAAATAAACACGTCGATGTTATTAAAATGAGGTGATTGGGCGAATGTTTGTCGTAATTTTGACGAAATAGTGCTCCACGTGGCTCCATTAGCGTGTTTTTGTGTCTCAAATGGGGCTATCACGTCAGGAGGTGAACTTGCTCCGTCTTTTGGCCAAATGCGAGCTCATGTGCAAAAGCAAGCAAAAAGACGACGATCGTATGCCCAAATACGTGGAAAGTCTCGAAGACATGTACCAGGAAGTGAAAAAAACGTCAGAGTAAGTGGCCCCAAAAACCCCCAAATTTCACTAAACGGGGACTTTAAGCCCCAATTACGAGTTTCTTTTGGTGTACCAGGGCCGTATCGCGGCCATTAAGGCCGAATTGGGGATCACTACTAGTAAATATCCGCCGGAAAACGACACAGAATTGCTTCGGAAGTCTCCTAGGTCTGTGGTGTCCCCTTATTGGCCCCATTTACGGTAATTGTGAAGCTTGCAGTGTGTGAGACACCGCAACGTCCCCGAAACGAGCGATTTGAACCAAGTTTTGAACTTCCACGAGGGTTTGCAACAGAAAATCACCGATGATATGCTCATTTTGACCAAGAATTTGAAAGAACAGTCGGAATTAGCCAACAAAATTATTAAAAAAGACACCAAAGTTGTGTCTTTTTTGCTTTGTACCTCATTGCAAAAACTATGTGGGAGGCTCATTATTATTATAAACAAAAAAATACTCCTACAAAACGTTAGGTGACAGATTAAATAAAACTTTTAAGTTGTCACAAAATTCCGTCAAAATCCCGCCAAACGTCGCCGCGTCGCACAGTGGTCGAAACTAGCATGAAAACGGCAAAAACTTGAAAAAATCTTTATATTAAATAAGACACCTGAAGAACTAGTTTTGTATAGAATTTTAGGCTTTTACATTCAATCTAGACTAAAAATAACATTTTTCGAACAACCCTTTTAATGTTATATAGTTGTTAATTCAATAGGAGAGAACACGTGGTAATACCAATAGAGCTTGGAACAACTAAAATTATTTTTTACCACGGCAAACATATTTTCCTAGAAAAGAAACTAAAAAAAAATAGTGTTTGAATTACCATTTACAAGAAAAAAAACTTTCTTGTATCTACCTTACTTCAAAGAATTAGACATTATTATTACTAAACTCGCAGGTTTACGCAGCTGATTTTTGTTTTAATCGGTAACACAGAGTGTAAAGAACAGTTTCCAAGAAGTCTCAGTTTGGCGCATGTTGGCGCAAAATCAATACACGTTTTTGATTTTACAAAAATTTGGTGTTCTCAAAATTATTAAACAAACTTGTTTCCAAATTTATTTGAAAACTTTTTTAAATGTACATGACCTAATACAACTAGATCAATTTTGCAAAATTCAACAAATCACAAATAAAATATGTCTTAAGACTTATCCAAGCGATCGTGAAAATATGCTTATTTATTGTGTGACGACTTCTCATGGTTATAGATTAATTAATATGGAGGTTTTTGGTACTTAAACTCTTTAAATATATTTAATTACTTATTTTTAACACACAAAAAGAGAGAGAGAGATCTGGCACATCAACTGTAAACTATTCAAATGGGGAAAACATTGATGTTTTAGTACCATCTATCTATTGGCGGCTGATTTTCTCTTATACAGAYTGGTTATAAATGATTTTCATCTAGCCAGCTGTGAATTTTCCATGTAAAATAAAAAATGCTGCTTTACGAAAATAGGGGTACCTACTTGTTGTAACTCAAAATTAAAAAATCGCCGTTTACTAAGCGTCCACTTCGAAAATAAACTTCAATTATAAACTTGTTTTCTTCCAAAGTATACATTATTATCAATTATTATTATTGGAAATTAGTTGAAACAATAAACATTTAATTAACAATTTATAAGTGACACTAATGACAGAACTAGAGCTTTCAAAAAAGTAGAGTGGTACAAATAAAGTTACATGCAAAAAAATTCCAAAGCTGGCTATATGAAAATCATTTATAACCACTCTGTACAATAGTCGTYGATAAAATTAATTTATAAAATTAAAAAGCGCAGCTTTTTGATTCAGATGGCCTTGAAACGATAATATGGATGGCGCCATCTAGACCAGGATCGCGCGCGGCGCTGTTTCGGTCGATAATTCAGTTTCCCTTTTTACTTGTCGGTGGCGTTTGCATAGAAGGCGTTTGTGWTTTATTAGCTGTCCAATCGTTTTTAACAGGTAAGTCAATGTCTTGATATTTATTAAATGTTATAAGTAAAATATAATTCGTCTGCTTTTCAATCATTTTCAACGGTTGTGTCGAAAATTAAAGTAAATGCAATAACTGAACAGCCACGTGGTATAGTGTTATCGTTTTCCAGTGTCGTAAAAGAAAAACGTTGCTTTCACGTTTCACGCCCAAAAAATGATAGTAATAATTAATAAAATATTGTACTTATATTTATACTATTATTGTGAAGTTGTAACATGTGTTGTTGAACTCAACCTAAAATGAGGTACA